CTGTTAACGGCTATTGGTGTAGAGTATGCGAAGATTGCTTTCAATCTCGAATTGGATACTTGGACACACAAGGTGATCTAATGTCGCAAAAAGAAAAGAAAAAATTTCAATGCCGCTTTTGTTTCCAGTCTATTCATAATTTGATAATGCTTGCATTAAACGTTAGGTATGATTAGAAGTCATACAGCGACATTCATCAAATGCCGAACGAAGGGGATTGAAAGAGCACATTTGGAAGGTAACCGCTTAGAAAAGCGCCTGGAAAAGGTATTCAATGGTGACTCCTTAGGATTATTTTGAATTCAACAAGAGCACAATTATTAATTCGTGTTTTGTAGCTTGCAAAGCTGTATGCCACTCAGATGAAGCCGGCTAATGGTACGCAAGTTGGATTGAAACCTCCTTTGACCTTGAAGCATCGAAGGAGAGGTATGAAATGGAATTTATCTACCAAAAAAAAGACGATTTTATTGTTTATTTACTTATTGGATGTTTACAGCTTCAGAACAATTGATTGTCAAATGGGAAGAGGATGCATCTGTAACAAAGTGTCCTCTGTGCGAGTATGTTATGCTTCTAATGGGTTTGCAAATTAAATTCTGAATTTGATCACACTATAATTTATTTTTCAGTATTTCCTTCGGAAAAATAACAAATCGTAAACATCATTGTCGTCTTTGTGGACGTGTTGTTTGCGAAAAATGTTCTGCAAAAATTTCCCTGAACTTGAGTGGCAACTATTCAGGTATAAAATTTATTTAATACGATTCTATATTTTATATATTTTATGCTGACAGCTGATTTAATTTAAACCACAGAGACACCAGAACAAGATTGCGTCGGCGAAATCAGATCATGCAAGGAGTGCCGTAATGCAGTTTTTAGGTGAATAGGAATAAATTAACAAGCAAAAATATATATGAAATTACTACCTATTTACAAAAGTTTTCTTAATGCATCTTCCATAAGGAGAAAGGAATATAATGAAGAAATTGCCAAGACACCACCCGTGGTCATGCTATATCAGGTAAACTTGATTGAGTTCTTCTTTCTAAACTGTTTTGATAGAATAATTGGTTTGTCTAATTGTATAATTTACTATTGTACAGAAATTGATGAAAATCAAGTCTGCAATTGATTCCACGTTACCTAAATTTCAAGAAATGCTCGTCATGTTAAAGTTACAGATCATTCACTTTCTTATTTTCTCTAAATTTTCTGGATTAAACTTTAGTTATTTATTATTTATTTATTTATTTGTAGGAGTCAGGAAATAGTTAATCAAACACATGCCGATTATCAGGTCGCAGCGCGTACTCGCAAGGAATTGTTGGATAACTTCGCTCAATTCGACTCAATCAACAAAAAGATTAATTCCTTACTCGTAAATACAGAGTCAGAAAAACGCTTAAAATCAAACATTCACTTAGCGGCAAATCAATACCTACAACAAAATATGTTACCACTTTCTCTTCTTCCAAAGAGATACCAACGATCACGCAAAAGACGTAGATGACGATGATGTATCCTCACCGGAAGCAATTCTTGCATCATTCACAAATGGTAGAGCTCGTACTATTTCTACGTCATCAACAAAGTCGTTAAAAGGGGAAGAGAAACTTCAACAACAATTGATGGTGCTTTTGGAACAAGAAGAATTGGTTCAAGGATATATTCATGAAGCTACTAGAAAACGCAAATTTGATGATGCGAGAACATTAAGGATTTCCTTAGATGAGCTTAAAACAGAGATTGATAAGATAAAAAAGGAACTTGGAGATTATTTATAAGTATTTACGAATCGTTGTATATATTTTAAACCAAGCAAAATATTTATGAGCATGGAAACAATTACTTACTTGAAATTCTTCAGTCTCGATATTTAATGTTTATATATCATCATTGTATTAATATTATTTTTATATTGTTGGCGGTTTTGTTAAATTTTTAATTATTTTTTTTTTTGTCTGATTCGGGACTTTTCTTTGGATTTTTTTTTTTTTTTCAACTTCGAATTATGCGACCTAAGATTATTTTTATTGTACATAAATTTAATTTAATCTCCATGTTTTTAGAGTTTTTTTGTGTAAGTCTATACTATAGCTCGTTATCAATTTAAGATTTTAGTTACGGGTGCGCTTTTTTTTTCATGATTCGAAATTAAGTTTACGATCTTATCTGTATACTTTGTTTATGTGTAAATTGACAACAATCGCTAAAAATGCGTTTTCGCGATCAATTTATTAGTACTTTGGTACAAACAATAATTTTTTACATAATTAAAAGTATGATTTATGTTAGATTTATTTTTTATTTATTTATTGCATAATATAAAATTTTTTTATTCACTGCCATATGTTACAAGAAAGAAATCTTTATTATAGATTTAATATACCGTTTATTTCACTGTTTTTTAACGCATGTTTTTATTAATAAACATTTTTAAATATTATTTTATTTTTTTAAACTGGCTTGTTTTATGTTTCATCTAATACTTTATTAATAAAAAATTATATTTAAAAACAATCAAAATTTACATTTCTCGTGTACTGTTTAAGAATTTACCAATCAATAAAAAGTGGATAGTATAAAAAATTAACTACCTATATGTCACTTTAAGTTTAATCTAATTGAGATCAAGAAAAACACATTATCTAGTATAAATAATTTTTTTAATAACAAGACTAATATATCAAGAATATATAATTGTATATTGTCAAATTCATTATTTCAAAAAATAAAGTTAATGTTTTCTAGAATATATAAATATATTTTTTAATTAATTAAAAAAAACTTTTTTTCTCTGATCCTTTTTTCAAAAAATTTTTTTTTGATAATTTTTTTTTTTTTATTTTTAAACTATAACTGATATTAGATGTAAGTTCTTTATTGATAATTAAATCTTAAGCATGACATCAATCATCCTATACATATACATATAGATAGTGATCATAGTTTTGATCTGAATTCAATTAATTTACAAATTGTATTAAATTAAATTTCAAATTAAATCTGATTGGATTTAAATCAAATTTAGATCAAATTTAATATGATTCAAATCAGATTTGAACCAATCCATATAAATCATCATACAATTATTTGATTTTTGTTTAAAAAACTATCTAGAAAATTAAAATAAAAAAACTTGAATTTTTTTTTAAAAAATAATATAAAAGACAAGTTTAAAAAAAATTCAATACTTTTTCTTTTTTTTGATTTTTTAAATATTTTTTTGTAATATTATAGTTTTACTGTTTAATTACTTTCATCATATTTTTTGCTTTTATTAATTTATTTCTTTTTAAAAATAAAATAAAATATAAAAATTCCTTTAATAGTATTTAATTTGCATATGATAAAAATAGTAATTTAACTAGTTATGACAGTATAAATATTGAAAATACTAATACAAGTAATCTATCAAAATTAATTTAAATTATCTTAACATATTTTAAAGTTAAAGTATGAAAACATTTTATAGGGAGTTCAAGTTTTTAAAAAAATAAAAAGGCTATCTGTAAATATTATAGAACAATATACACTTATAATAGAGGTAGCATTTTTAATCTTATAAAACATTTCAAAAAAACTTATCCAGCAAAATTAAATTTAATAACTAGCAATACTTAAATTATTAATTTTTTAAAACAACAGTAATTTTAAACAATTTTTAAAGTTTAAAAAAAAATACTATTAATTTTTTATATTTATATATAGTGGATATACAACTTCAAAAATAAAAAAAAAAATACTTCAGGTTAAAAAAAAAATAAAAATAAAAATAAACTTGTTTAATAGATCATTATCAATTAATAATTTTTTATAGTTATTCAAGAATCAGTTTTCTTTATTTTTGTACAAATATTAGTATCAAATACAAAAATATATTCAACTATTTTTATTAAGATCTATATAATAAACTATTATTTAAATAATAAAAAAAAATTCAAAAGATATTATAAAAAATAAAAAGCTGAATTTTATTTGTACTTGATATTTGGATATCAGTTTTAATAAAAGTATTTTTAGACATAGCTACCTATTTTATTGATAAAAATTAAAAAATATAAAATATAATAATAGACTTTGTACAATTGTAAAGTATCCATTTGAGTGAAAATATTAAAAAAGTATTTTTATTATATTTAAAAAAATTTATGATTTAAATAAAGATAAACTTGAAACCTGTAGATCAATAGCAAAGTAATATTATTCCCAGGTAATGATGGGTCCCTAAAGTATTTAGCATATAAAATTTTGCAAATCACTTATGTCCCTTTTT